CACTGCCCTGTGGGGGTCCCCCGGCCTCGGCAGCCCCTTGGACCCCCACAGGGCCACCCACACCACTGCGCACCCGGCAGAAATCAGAGCGGAGCGCTGTTCCCAGCCCCCCTGCTATGCCTGACGACCATCCCTGGCTACCAGGACTTCCTGGGGCAGCCGGCACAGAACATCATCACCAGCATGGCCACCACCGTGGGTGCACAGCCAGGTAGTGACATCCCCCCGGGCAGTGACATCGCCCCCAACCCCTCTGCTGACCGCCAAAGCCTTGGGGACCTGGCAGATGTTGGGGAGGTGTCCGACACCCTGGGGGTCAGCCAGGACAGTGCCTGGAGACCCTGCTGGCACCGGCACAGCCGTCCCCCCCTGTGCCTTCCCCTTGCTCTCGCTGCCCAAGGATCCACTCAGCCCCGACTCCAGCAACCTCGAGGTCACCAACGCCATCAGGGCCATTAAGGAGTCCATCATGGGGCTGGAGCCCTGGGGGGACGAGGGGGTGGACCTGCCACCGTCCCAGCCTGCTGTGGCAGAGCAGCAGGGGAACAGCACCTTGCCAGAGCCCCCCAGCAAGCGCAGCGCTCTGGCAGGCGGCACAGGGCTGGCAGGGGGGGATTAGACCCAGTGCAGGGAGGAGAGAGAGGTGGAGGGAGTGTGGGGTGGGATGGAGTGGGGGTATTTTGGAGGGGAGGGGGGTTATAGTAGCTTTCTAGGACCTTTTCTCTTATTTCTTTTTTTTCCCAATAAAAGTTGTTTGTCCAAGACAGCTCCGCGATTGTGTGGGAGATGGCAGGAGCGCAGGAGGCTCCGGGAAATGGCACCCAAGAGGTGCAAAAGCCCCGCTGAGCACCAAATCGCAGCCACTGAGCCAGCCCCACCTTCCCCAGGGCAAGCAGCCCTTTGGCGGGCAGCCAGGACAGATGGGTCCCTGCAGGACTCATGGACACGGCCCCAGGCAGAAAGCAGCACGCAGCCCCTGGCACAAGGACAGAGCTCAGGCGCCGGCGCAGGGACAGTCACATACACAACAAGGGCTCCAACACCTTCGTCTGGAGCACAACCAGCGGCCCCTCCAGCCGCCACCGGGCTCGCTGCAAAGCCCTGCAAAGCCTCAGGACAGTCAAGCCCTTCCTCGGGTCAGACTGGGCTCAGCTCTAGAGCCTGGCTTTGCTTCACTGCTGCAGAAAACGCACCGCAAATCACCCCAAGAATGGCGACAGAGGCACCTGCAGGCCAGGCAGGGACCCTCCTCTGCTTGTCTGGCTGCAGCTTGG